AAAGAATAAAGTCTAAACTCTGTGAGCAAAGCATGCCTGGCCCAGGCCTCACCTGTGTCTCTATTCTCCACTGGTCCGGCTCTCTCCAGGTCCAGCCACTTGGGTCTTCTTGCTGCCCTTTATCAGGCCAATCACATTCCAAGATGAAAATGAATGCCTAACCTTGACCTCAACCTGTAAAAGCCACTTCTGCAATCAACTGTTTTTAATTTTCATAGATTATCACATTTTATAATCATGTATTTGTGAATTCATTTAATGTCTTCTCTGCTGCTGGAGTCTATGCAGTCTCTGTGGCTCACCACTGCATTCCCCAGTCCTCAGATCAGTCCCTGACATGTAACAGGCTCTGGAGAAAGAAATATTAGCTGAATGAATAACAAAAAGAACCAACCTCCAATTCCTAATCTATTCAACAGGAAAATGAGAATGTTATGAGGATTTAATAAAGCAATGGTGTTAAAGGACAATTTTTGATGATAAGTAAAATCATAACTCCCATTCAAATAAAAATAAACACATATCAGAGATTTTATTTAACTCAGCAATTAAAAGAGGAAATCTGTAAGAAGTCACAATTGGTTCAAAGGAGAATTCAAAGAACAGACACATTTGTAGATCAAGAATATTGAAATGAATTTGCATATAGATGCAAAATTGGCTTTTCTGTGAGAGAGAAACCTTCACCAAAGATTTTTATTTTCATGAATGTAGATAAGATTTATTTGCATTATTGTTCACTTTTTGTTTGTTTGTTTTTCAAATTAACCTTAGTATCTACAGAGTTGTAAAATAGCCTAGTCAATACCAAAGTTCAGACAGTTGCTAGAGATACGAGTATTTCATTGAAATGTATTCAGTATTTTTCTTTTTTTTTAATAATAGTATTTTTTCTTCACATTTTTTATTGGTGCCTTATAGTTGTACATTGTGATATCTCATTATAGTTGTACATCCAGTATCTCTCTTGATTATTTCAAGACTTAAAAAGAAAATTTGTTTATCATCTTTACTTCTTTCTTTCAAATTATCTCAAACAAAATTATTCTCAAAATAAGGCTGGTCTCATTAGGTTTGGCTGGGTTGTTTGCACTGAGGTAGCAAGAATGTTAATTTACTGTTTAGGACACCTAAAGCTTATTTTGCTGAAAGCTTTCATAAGGAATCTCAGACTGAACTTCTAAAATCATTTATTATTTGCTATCCTAAGGTTGGTAAGTCAAGGCCAAGAAATTTTGTTTTCCAGATTCCAACTGAAAGACCTAAAATTTGGGTCTTTTCTTCTATTTAGAGCTGCTTCAAATATCCCAAGCTTCTTGGGCTTGCAGGATGTGGCCTTCCTTACCACGATGGAAATCCTATTAGCCGTGTACCACACTAGTTTTTCTGGAAGGACTTTGTAAACACTGGCACCAGAAAGTCAACCTCAGTCCTTTATAAGTGACTCGTCATTATGACTAAATAAATACCATTCTCAAATATTCCATGCAAGGCCTTGGTTGCATAAGTGATTTTTCCATTTATATCTTTGTAAAAGGGGAACAGATCCTTATTGGAACTATGCAGACTACTCTGTTGCCATGAAAAGCAAGGAGATTCACTGAGAGTTTCTAATTGCGGGAGGCAGGGAGAGCTCAAAGAATTACAAGTTTAATTTTCTGATAATTTGAAGAATATTTAATTTACTATATGTCCTTATTTATCTCTATAAGCCAGTCAAAACAGAGCTCCTTTAAAGGCCTTTATGCTCTAATTTAATAATACTTTCTGGAGATAAGAAAACCTCCTACAGTAACAATGAGGGGTAGTGGACTTTCTGAGTGACACATACACACACACACACACACACACACRTATAGATCCAGGGTGTGAATACCTGAAATTCTTCAATTTCAGCCATAGCTGAAAAGTAAACACAAATACAAAAACTGAACACTACAGACTTACAGTATCAAAGTTGTTTTCCTTCTTCCTGGGCATGATATTCCTAACTGATTTTAACTCACAATAGATGAACACTAACCAAATCTATTCTCTATCACTTTTCACCCAGCAGGGAAATAGATCTCTAGAATACATTAATCCATTTACAGAGATTACCAAATTTCCAATCACTGCAGCTACCAACAGGAAATAACTCATCATTTGTAAATGAAACAAAAAGAAAAGCAAATTAATAGAGAATAGAATTAAAGTTAGAAAAACAAATTTCAACAAAGTTCTGTTACCACTTTGAATTCACCTGTGGGAGACAAGGAAAAAAAATGTGTCTGGGCTGGTATCTGTGACATCATTTCTGATGACTTCGGGTGACTCTTGGCTCATCTTAGTGGGTCCTCCAAACCTGTTAAAGGATGATTTTTTTTTTAAAAAAAAGTAAAGTCATGACTCTTACATAAACTGAACATGTCAAAAACTATATTTAACTCATTAATTAAATGAGACAACTAGTAAGATGTTACAGTTGATTCACAAAATGCAAATAAGACATATTTACAAATCAAGAATATTGAAATAAATTTGCAAATGGATGCAAAACTGGCTTTTCAGATGGAAGAGTTGTCTTCCATGTGACAGAACTTACTCACATGTGTATAGACAGAAATTATTTGCATTGCTATCATATATCTACACTTTAAACCTTCATCTTTACAGAATTATAAAGTAGACAGTTTAAACAAAAGTACAACACTCTATAGCATCAGGTAATCTTCAGAATTCCAATATCTCCATTAAAAAGAATCCCCTAATCTCTTTTGCTTATATCAGAGTCTTAACTTCTTCCTTCCAGTTATGAATTTATATATATTTGTCTAAAATTAAATTGTTTCACCCAGTATCAAAGCAAAGATTAAAATCATGCTTATATTCTTCAAAATTCTCAGAGAATGAAACTGACTCTTTAAAGTATAATGATTTTTAAGGAGCTCTGTTTCTCACCTCTGCAAAACAGGCATAGCTCTTAGGCAGAGATTGGGTATTTACAGGTGGAAAATATTTGTGAAGACAAACAACTAATGTTGCTGTCACTGGGACAGGGGGCCTGAGGAGGTTTCCTCCAAGGGAGGTGGACCTTGACTCAGGCCATGAAGCTCCTTGACGTCCTTGCAGAAAGGAATCCAGGAACAGTTCAAAGAAAAATATACACTTATTTTATTGAGAGAAATACACTCTGTGAGAGTGTATCACTACACAGGGTGGAGTGCCAGCATTAGGGAGGGAAATTCTAGCTAGATCTTAGCGAGGCAAATTCATACACGTAAAATCTATAGTACAGATTGAAGAGGGTATTTTTAGTTCCCCTTTGTGTTGGTAACTGGACATGTTAACCATGACCGACTAGGGGTTCTTTTGTTTTTGATGCATTCTGTTTTGTGACTTTGAACTGTACTCCCTTGGTGTACCTGTGGATGAGGTCTCATCAATGATTAAATAGGTTGTTTGTGATCAAGGTAAGTGAAAGTGACCATTAAATCTGGACTTTTAATCCATGTGAAAGTGGACTTTAAATCATAGCACTCTTGTGTTGTCCTGCAGATCCCCTTTCTGCCTCTCCTTATGTCTCCCATCCTACCTCATTGCTATTTTAAAGAACTTATTACAACCAGTTCTAGTGTTATAAAAATTAAAACCTTTTTACTAATTTAAAAGAGGGTTTAAAGAGTTGTACACTGGATCAGTAGTTCTTAAGTTTGAAGTAGGAAAGATCGACCTGGAGTGTTTATTTAACATATATGTTTCTGGGCCCCAATTCTGGTGATTCTCAAACTTCAGTGTTCCTAAGTACTTCCTGGAGACTCCAATAATGCAGATCCCCAGGCCCTGACCTCAAGCTTTAAGACAACTCTGAAATGGGGCCCAGGAATTTTCACTTTCAGTATGAAAATCTTCCTCCAAGTGAACTGCTCTAGGTAAACTGGAGATTTCTCTCTGGAATCATTGTTTGATAAGCAATGTCCTCATCAGCTCTCCAACCCTTCTGTGATGATCTTCTGAATTCCTGAAACAYAAAACTAACATCTTTAAAAGCAAAAAAATATAGTTACAGAGGTCTTAAAGCAAATGGAAATAATACTTAGAATGAGTGACAACTCCTTCAACTTAATCCAGCTTGGTACACCATTTGTATACTAGAAATTTGTTGAGATCCAGAATTCCTAATTTTCCTTTCTATTATGTAATAGGACAGTGAGAAACTGAAATCCTACCACAAATTCATTACAAATAGTCCCCAAGTTTCTGAGTTTCTGGCTTTGATACAATAGATCTACCTTAATGAAAGTTCTGCCCCCAGCAGCAGGCTTTGTTCAATTATTCATATATTCATTGATTTATTCATTTGTTTACTTAYTTAACAATGTCTCTTGTCCTTAAAAAGGCTTGGCTCCAGCCTTGCTGACACAGTATGGGTTCTAGAAATTGTAAATTAGTTGCATTAATACTAACGGGGTTGCTCAGTTACACTGAAATAACCCATTGGAACATTCATATCTTCTGGTGAAATGAGAAATGTCTGGAGATAACTCCTTCTTTGATAAAGTATGACTGATTTTAACAAAGGGGCATGGTTTCAAGCACACAGGTTTTCTTTTCTTTCTTTCCAAACAATGAATCTCCTTAGTTATTAAGAATGTGTGCCCAATTTCTCTGAATTTTAAAAAGAGCAACAATATTACCAATGATTGRGAATGTCATAAGTACAAGAAGTTTTAGTTTGCTGTGAAATTATATTTCTACCTTAAAATGAAATTACCTTCGTGCAATTTTATTTCATATTACTGCTATTGGAAATGACATTTTCCTTGGGTTAGAATATTAAGCTTAAATGAACGCATACTAGCCATATTTTTTTATGCAAAGGATTAAGGCACTAGCTGTACCCTTACAAATAAGATGACGAATGGAGTAAGTTATACTTGAGAAGTTTATAGAGATCACATTGGTGAAATGACTTAGTTAACCTCAAATTCTGTTAACCTTCTTTCTTAGGGATTTTAAACATGATAGAACGAGGATTGATCCCCCCAACAGCAAAGATTACCTTCAAGAATCCACCCATTAGGCCCAAAGCAGCTCCTCTGCACAGTTTTGATGAATCGCATAAGATTCCAATCTCCGGTAAGACACCGCCAACTCCACGCTTGGTTGGGGCTACACAGAAATCACCTCCCCACAAAATTTCCCCTACTAGTGGGCAACTTTTACCCTTAATAATAGGACAAGATGAAAGTGGCAAATAGCCTGAGTTTTATGTTAACAAGTAAAGTAACTTTAGGGTAAATCAGCATTTCTGCTCTTATGGTGCTTATGTTCCAGTGGGAGACACAGACAATAAGCAGGTAAGTAAAGGAGAATTTAAGCTAATGATACGTGCTAGAAATAAACGATATGGGTGAGAGTGAGAGAAGGGAGGAAGGGCCAGGAAATGCCTCTCAGAAGAGTGTGGCTTGAGCTGAGATCTAAAAGATAAGAAAGAACCAGTCATTTAAACATCTAGGGAGGAGCATTCCAGATGTAGACCAGAGGAGGGGCAAAGGCCCTAAGGACCTCGGAGGAAATGAGCAGGAGGGCCCGGCCAAGAGCAGGGGAGAAAGGAGGAGGAGGCCAGGCTGGAGACAGAGGGATCACATGATGTAAGCTAAAGCCAAGACGACTTGCTTAGCAGTGGGGTTGTGGGTGAGACACCACAGACAACATTTCCCAGCCTCCTTAGAGTGGGGTGTGCCACGTGACCAGATTCTGAGGATGTAGCAGAAATGGAGAGGGAAAGGTGCAGCTCTCTGGGTCTCCATGTTGAGACAGGCGGGGTTGCCCAGCTAGACCTAGACTAACTTCCTTTGGACTACGTGTGTGTGTGTGTGTGTGTGTGTGTGTGTGTGTGTGTGTGTGTGTGTGTTAGAAAAAGAAGCTCTTACTTTGTTTAAACCACTTGGCATATCTTTAGATCTTTCTTTTTAAAACAACTTAGACTATACCAGAACCCACATGGCATTCCCCCAAACCATGACAAGGAGTTGGTTTGATCCCAATTACAATAGGAACCCACTGGAAGGTTAAAGAGGAGGATGAGGTCATCCTGGTTTTTTTTGTTTTAATAAGGCCATTTTTTTTGTTTGTTTTAATAAGGATCACTTTGCACACCAGTGCCACATGTGTGGTAGCAGGAAACCTAGTTAAAAGTCTGTAGCAGTAAACCAGGTGTGAAATGATGATGGCATCGAGGAGGACGATATTGGTTAGATAAGTGTACAAATCCATGTTATATTTTGGAGGTGAAACCACAAGGATGTACTRAGGGAAAGAGAGGTATCAAGGACAAGTATGTATGAATGCTTTCATAAATACATATCAGCACACCCCAACTTTGTATCCAATCTGCTGCTGATGGGAATTTCAGTGGTTTATACCACAGGCCTGTAAGGAATAATAGCACTGTGGACATTCTTGTATATGTCTTTTAATGCCAATACATATGCAATTCTGTTGCATACGTGTCAGAGAGTGAAACCACAGAGTCATAGGATATACACATGCTCAGATCTAACAGATGCTGCCAAACAGTTCTCCAAAATGATTTATTTTCCTGTTAGCAGTTCATGAGAGTTCCAGAACATTCATCTTGGTTAACACCTAATATTTAAGTTTTTTTATATTTGAGCCATCCTGAAGAATCTATTGTGGTATCTCTCTGTGGGCCTAGTTTTATTTCCCTGATGACCAATAAAGCTGAGTACTTTTATTTTTGGTACCAGGGATTGAACCTAGGGATACTTAACCACTGAACTACATCCTCAGACTTTTTAATATTTTATTTAGAGGTAGGGTCTCACTGTGTTGCTTATAGTCTCACTAAGTTGCTGAGGCTGGCTTTGAACTCAAAAAATCCTCCTGCCTCAGCCTCCTGAGCCACTAACAGGGATAACATAGGTGTGTGCCATCACACCCAGGTTGAACCCTTTTTTTGATATGTGTATTGGTCATTGAATACCCTCTTTTATTAAGTGATTTAAGCCTCTGATTTTTTAAGTTGCATTGTTGTTCTAACTGATTTGTAGGAATTATCTATATATCCCAAATGCTAATCTTTCATCAGTTATATGTATTGCAAATAATTTTTTCTACTCGGTGGCTTGATATTTCACCCTTTCTTGGTATCTTTTTAAAATTAAATGAGATAATTGTAGCTTCACATGCAGTTGTAAGAAGTAATGCAGAGAGATCCCTTATACTCTTTCCTCAACAGTAACATACTGAAATACTCCAGTACAATATCACAGTCAGGATATTGACACAGTCAAGCAATGAACATTCCTATCACCACAAAGGGTTCTCTTGTTGTCCTCTTGTGGCCACACCTACTTCCCTTCATCTCTTGCCTCCTTAATCCCTAGAAACCAATAACCTCTTTACCATTTCTATAAATTTGTCGTTTCAAGTATGCCATACAAATGAAGTCATGGGGTGTGTAGCTTTTGAGGTTGGCTTTTTTTCACTCAGCATAATTCTCTGGAGAGTTCTTCAGGTCGTGGCTTACATCAGCAGTTTCCTACTTATCRCTGAGTAGTATTCCCTGTTATAATACCACAGTTGCTAAGGCATTCACCTGTTGGAGCACATTCAGGTTGTTTCCTGTTTGGGGTTACTATTTAAAAGAAGCTTCTGTAAATATTTATGTACAGGTTTTTGAATGAACCTGTGTTCTCATTTCTTTAGGATAAATGCCCAGGAGTGTAATTGCTGTTACTTATGGTACTTTCCTGTTTAATTACTCTACATTTATTTAGAGCCATGTTGGAGTATTACAAATCTGTTTCAAACATGAACTATAACTTAGAAAACTTAAGAGGAAAAAGAATGCTATTTCTATCCAGATTTTTGCTTACCATGTACTTGCTTCCCTTCTAWTGCTCCAGGTTTCTTTATCATTCCCTTTCTATGTAGAGAATTTCTCTTAGCCCTTCTTGTAGAGTCAGTATATTAGTGACAAAGTGTCCTGATTTTGCTTCATCTTGGAATCTCTTGGTTTCCCCTTTCATTCTTTTTTTTTTTCTTGTTTTTTTTTTTATTGGTCGTTCATAACATTACATAGTTCTTAATACATCATATTACACGGTTGATTCACGTGGATTATGAACTCCCGC